ATACTAAATGCTATGTATTTGTTAAACATGAGGTAAATAAGAAATGGAATAGAAAGAGGAGTCAATTGATGGAGATACCACACCAGGACTTGCTCAGCCTTGGTCTTGACTTCAGCAACTGCTTTAAGGTCACTGTCCTGGGCTTGTTAGTGGATCATGTCCTGTCTTCTTCCATTGTTTCTTTGTTCTCATATTCTACCATCTACCATAGCTGATGTATCTGAAGGCCCTCACCAGAACTGGGACAGTTCTTTAGACTCCCGAATTGTGACTCAAATAAATTTCTGTTCACTACAAATTACCTAGCCTCAGGTATTCTGTGGCATTAGCAGAAGACAGTCTAATGTGGTTACTTTTGAACTCTGCTGTTTGTATAAAACTAGCTAGCTATTACTCTTATCTTAAAGTTACTTCTTATTATAGCAATGTCCAGTTTTTTTAGTATATATGTACACACACATACATATGTATTTCTTTTAATATTCTGTAATGATCTTGAACTTCTAAAAATGGATAACACAATGCCAACTACAGATTTCACAGGAATATTTGGACAAAGTAGACCAGTCATCCAGTAGATGTCTGAAAGTACAGATAACACTAAACTATATTGTCTCTGTTTTTACCTATAAATATATACATGTATATATATCATTCATTTTTTGTGGTATCTAATATTTAGGTATGGGCACCTGGGGGATAGTCTATTAAAGCTGGGTGCTGGACCCAGATGCTGTCTCAGAGGTAAGAGTCCAATCAGTCTCTTGTCTTGCCCATATTGCCATAAAAATTGGAACCAGTGCAGCAAAAGGAAGATTTACAATGGATGAACAAACGGAAGGATGTGAGTCACTAAGACTGTTCAAACATGTGAAGGAATTTACTTGGAATTCTAACCTCTCCACCAGTCCAAGACTCTCTCAGGGGCAAAGTTTCCCCAGAGCAAATCTAGATGTATTCATTGGTTTATTTACTTTTATTTATTCTTATTGAAAGAACCTATTCTTTTAGTTTATTCTTACAGAACATTTATTATTACTGAAAGAAATGCATTTTCTTTTGAACTGCAAAGTCAGTGCAGTTTTTAACTGTGAAAACCTGAGGACGTTCATAGTCCCTACCACATAGAGTTGAGCAGGGTTAAATGTAGTTTGAATGTGAAGTGTGTTAGAATAGTTCTTGGCATACACTTGCCCACACTCACACACACAGGTGTTTGCCATTGTTGTTGTGTGCTGTGACATTTGTAAGGTTGAGTCTATTGAGAATCATTTTGCAAGAGGGGTTCTGCACTTTACAATGTGGGTCAATACATTATTGCTCTCCATATACTCAAAAATATCACAGATGATGCTTGCCATTTGTTCCTCATTTCCAGCCTGTTTTAACTGATTTTGCTTCTTTTCATAATATTCATTTTTTTTCAGTTATACCCCTAAGAAATGCAATGAGCGAATCATGGTGTCTTATTTTCATGCAAATCTGCAGAGTGAGTCACTTGTATATAGTAGCTAAAGTCTGAGTGACACCAGATTCCATTCTATGGAAATGTGACTTATGAAGCAATTCTTTCTTATGTGAAATATGGAAACTCAATTTCAATGTAAAGAATTAAATAAGTGATTCTCCCGAGCTGGCCTGTAGTTGTTTTTTTTTTTTCCTTTTAAAGGAGTCAATCAGGATGAGTACCTTCCTTTACATGGACAGGCATGTACATTGTACATAACATCACAGCTTACTCATGTCTGGGTAGATATATCATTAGCTAGAGACTACTAAACTCCAGAATTTGTCCATTTCTTTGATCCACACCTCAGAATCTGGACACCATGTAGAATATTCTATTTACTATTAGCTCGCCTCATTGAAACATCAATTTTTGTGTGTTTGTGTACAAGTGTTCATGTGTGTGGTACCCAAGTGCATATAAGGTGAATGCCCATGTGTTTTCTCGTATGGGGAGGCTAGAGACAATCGCAGATGTTATTCCTCATGAGCTGTCCATGTTGTTTTTGGAGACAGGGTCTTTTGCCTTCATCTGTTTAACTTGGGAAATGCAGGCTGGCCCCTGAGCATCAGATCTGCCTGCCTCAGCTTCCCTAGTGCTGGAATCATATCCCTTTGCTACGATGTCTAGTTTTGTTCTTTTATGTTGGTTATGAGGGTGAAACTAGGCTCCTCACACTTGCACAGCAAGTAGTTTATCAACTGAGATCTCACGCCAACTCAATATTAACATTTTAAAATGTCAAACACTTTTCTAACTGGATATTATCATTTTGTTGCTTTATGATCTAAATGTATGGTTTTCCCACGAGCCTACAGCCAATGTCCAAGAGACAATTTTTGCTTTCAAAGAATTTATAGACCAAAGGGAAGACAGACAGATAATCCTGATGATGAAGAATACAAAATGGGCACAAAGTAGGCAGAGCTGAGCAGTGGTAGTGTATACTTTAATCTCAGCACTCAGGAGGCAGAGGCAGGCGGATCTCTCTGAGTTCAAGACCAGCCTGGTCTACAAGAGCTAGTTCCAGGACAGGCTCCCAAGCTACAGAGAAACTCTGTCTCGACAAAACAAAACAAAAAAAAGTGTCCATAAAAGGAACACAGTGAATTTTGACAAAACAAACACAAAACTACTACAGTCTTCTCAGAGTTTGAGCCTTTTATTTACATTTGGAGGAATGAAGGCATTTCCACAGAATAAGCAAGAGAATTATCTATCTCCAAGGCCACCATGTAAGGAAACTAATGTTCTATGTTCTCATGGTGGTGAAGGGCTCTGAGGGTTCTTTTCTAAAGCATTTTCAGAGGTGTTGAATTCAGACCAGCTTCCACCGTGATCATCAGAGAGTGATTCATGAGAAGGTACAGAAAGGGGAATCATCTCATTTATGCCTCTGGATTTTCGTCAGAAAAAATTAAAACATCCGTGTTTCAGTCCATAGAAACAAGTCCAAATCTGTCATTCATTTACCACCCACAGCCAAATACATGTGAAAAAATGATGTCCCTCCACACCCAGAAGCCACTCATCATGGCTTAGAAGAGGAGAAGCCCAACAGAAGGAACCAGATTTGTAAGCCTCTTGAGAAGGCAAAGGTTCCTACCACATTTATACAGTCTCAAGCCTTTTCCCGACTTATTGTTTCTATTTTTACTGATGGTATTCGGGATTAAGCTGAGGAACAACTTGATGCATGAACTTCCATTTGGAAGCTTGTCTGCGAGCTTGCTCAGTGAAGATGACATAGGCATCCTGGAATGAACTGAGAACAAGAGGTTAGAATTTGGGACTGTGCTGAGACGTGTCTGTAGAGGTGTGTGTGTGAGCTGGTATGTGGTGGACTTTGTCCTCTGCCAAGTGCAACGTGCGGAGCAGATGAAATTTATGAGAAACACAAGCCTCATGTGTCTCCTTCAATATTACTTAGGAACATAGCATTTAGTTAGCGTGGCCTTTGATTGTTGCCAGATCTGTGTAGGATTGTCACTTTAGTTAAAGCAATTTGATTATATTTGGACACAGCGCTGGGATTCCTTTAGCTGTTGACTCACTATGTTCTTGTTAGCAGGAAACATTTGTTTTTCTGTGTCATCTGAAGTACAAATAGCCGCCACAGGAGACTGTGATAAAATGCCTGGCTAATGGGATAGAAGGCCCCTGGCACTCTCCACCTATTTCTTTCTGGGCCCTGGTGTGATTCCTCTTTTTCAGTGTGAACTGAACCCAGTACCCAGATGCTAAGCAATAGCTATAGTAGATATGGAAGGTTCAAAAATCTGTGTTTTCAGTCCTCCTGGTATTATGTATTTATTTATCCCTTGGATTCTCTCTTTTGCTTGCTCTGTGGGGAGGCCCAGAGGGTGAGAAAGTGAATGCAGCCTCTAATCAATAGCCAATGTGCCGAGGAGGTCCTCAATCCAAATGCCTTCAAGGAACTTATTCTCATCAATAATCTCTGCCTGGGAGAGAGCTTGAAGCAGACCTCTTTAGCTGTGCACCGATACGCTGCAGTTTGGAGAGCTTCAGTGCTCCAAGATGCAGGGAAGGCAACCTGGAGTCCCAATCTGTTGAAATGGAGATGTGAATGGTATTTCATGCCACTCAGCTTTGAGATGCTTTGTCACCCAGCCACAGGTAATTATATCATCGATTATAGAAGTGGCAGGGCTTCGCATTGGCCACAAAGCTGGAAAGTGAATCTATCTATCTATCTATCTATCTATCTATCTATCTATCTATCTATCTAATCTCTGTTTGTATTAATTGCAACAACCTGGCAATGGTGATATTGATTATATTTTGAAACACAGTGATGATATATACATTTTACACACACACACACACACACACACACACACACACACACAGAGAGAGAGAGAGAGAGTTCAGAACATATAGTTAAGACATGGTAGAGACTGAAATGAAAATCAAAGGGTCTCCATTTTCAAGCTGGGCTCTTTTCTCAATTCGAAGGGGAGATAAGAGCTGGGGGCAGGGTTATGAGGGTAGAAAGCAGGCTTCTTGAGGGACGGTCTTTTTAGTCACTTTTCTTTCTTAGAGATCTGGACATCTTGAAATGAAACTTAACATAAAGGAATTGACCATCATGAAAACGCAGCCTTATCACATACAGACTGTGTCTATAAACAGTTAATATGTATTTCACTTTCTAAGTAGCCTCTGACTGAAGAGCTGAAAGTTCTTAGACACAGTAGATTTCTAAGCTCCTTCTTCAGTACCATGCCTGCCTACATGTTGCCATGTTTCCTACCATGACGATGATAGACTAAACCTCTGAAACTAAGCCAACCTCAATTAAATGTTTTCCTTTATAAGAGTCACCATGGTCATGGTGTCCCTTTAATACAATAGAACCCAAACTAAGACACAAGGCTATATATCACTTGAAATAGGGTTAGTGAGACTGAAGAATTTTTTTCACTTAATTTAATTTCAATTCATTTAAATCCAAATGCACAGGTCTAGAGACTGTTATTTTATTGCATATTTAAAATTTAATTTGGGCTCATATGGAGAGTATATGTTCCAAGTCTCAGGCTCCAAACTAGAAGTTTTGCATATATTCATCTAGTTTTCAGAAAACCCATTGAGACCCATCATATTATGTATATTTCATAGAGCAGAAATTTAGCTATCACAGGTAAAATAGGCTTCCTTAAATCAGGTGAGAGACAGGATTAAAAAGTCAATGTGAGTCCATATCTATTTTTAGTGCAGAGAAAAAGGACCCAGTCAACAGAAATAGAAAAAAAGGATGACAAAAGCAGTTAAAATGAGGCTCTTGTTACAATAAGTTATTTCATTTTATTCCTTATGATAAACAATTTAGCCATAGCAAATGTTAGTTTTTAAATAACCATAATCCAAAATTTTACATCGAATATTGTTTTCCTCCATATACATCGGTGAACTTTAAACATCTATGATATATTTGTTTACGTTATTATGACACTAAATAAAAACAGTAAAATCCTTCATCTTTTGTAAATGTATAGGCTTGTGCTATACCTTAGGGGAAGCCATAAGCCACTTGAAGAGAGATGGTGTGGACAGAAGTGGTTCCCGGGCAGGTAATACTTATAGAACATAGGAGGCACATGGTGGATCTACATTAGCGCGATGATGAGTATTCCATTTCATCAGCCTTGCCTCTTCATTTTTCTTTAGGAATGTGTAGTGCATTTGCAAACAACATGCTCAAATCCCAGAGAGTTTGGCATTGTGAATTATAGCTGTAGAGGAGTAGAGACTAATCACATTTGCGTGGGAAAAATAAATTAAAGCCTGTGGACTGTTAACACGATGCTAATATTTCCTGCGAGACATGGAGCCTTTCAGCAGAAGAGTCAGGAGCCCCTGAAGGCTTCTCATCTTCCTAAGATTATCCTCGCCTAAGCCGAGCAAGACGTTCCAAACAAATCAAGCCTTAATACCTCACTGCAGACCAGGTTCAGTCAGATGAACACATTTCTGATATAGCTCTTTGTTACCATAAAAGCCACTGCTCACTCATAGTGTTTCCCAACTATTTCTTTTGGTTATTTACCAAGTGTCTTAGTGTCATTTTGGAATGCCAATGAATTTTAATCATGATATTGGATTAAATGTTTTAGGCTCCCTTCTATAGAGACAGAAAGGTCTCATTATCTATACCCAGTGTTCAGCAAACAGTTTAAAAGCACACAGAAGGACCTACATAAAAATACAAATGTTAAGGCCACTGGCAGTAGACTAGAGCACATTTGAATTATTTATTGACTGCCTTTTCATTTAAAGGTAAGCACTTCATAAAAATCTGTTCTTGCATAAAAGATAAGGGTGCCGCCTTACCTTTTCCATTAATTATGTAACTTTTCTAAAAGAATAGATTATTTAAAGTTTATAAGATGCAAAAAATGGCTATTACATTTGAGCATATTTCTATAGAAAGAAATCAAATTTTATTTTCCCCTTTAAAAAAGTCTGTTGTATATGGTCAAATTCTGGCATTTTATTACTAATATAAAATCTCTGGGAACATGGTTCTCAACATTTATTCCATAGTTAGAGCAACTTCATCACACTAGTGACTAAAGCCAAGGGGTTTTTAGGAGGGGTTTGTAATAACTAAGGGGATTTTAGCTCCCAGAACCTGTTGGGCACCTTTCATTTTGTTTAAATAATCAAATTAGTGAATAAGATTAATCTACTGGAGATACAACTGGTCATTTTACATCCTCCTAAAACATAAGCAAAAAAAAAAAGCTGAAAGGACTAGTCTGCTCTTTATTTTTGAAATTCTTTCTAGAATATTTCTTTAATGCATAGCTAGATTTTGTTTGGAATCTTGATGGGATGACAGGGATCTTCACAAAATTTCTAGTCACCAATAATGCTGCTGCAACTGTTTTTTTTTTTTAATTTTTACAGGTGTATTTTAGAGAGGGCATTCAGTTGATTGTCTACCCATATCAGTAACACTTCTTCCATGTCCCCAGTGAAGCTGCCTGTGCTTCTTGTAAGGCAAAGTTCACAAGAAAATCACAGATTTCACAAAAGAATACTTTCCGCTTTCCCAGAGCACATTAAAGTTATGTTTAGATTGCCTTTACTAAGTTTCTTCAAAGTAATGTATACACCTGTATTAAAAATATTTTATTGCTGATAAAAGGCAGCTAGCAACCGAGCTTTCAGCGGACGCACATCTTTTTGGTTGTTTGTGGCGTGAGAGTTGTTTAATGACTAGCTTGGTGGTTGCTGACACTCGCTGGATGGCTCTTGGTTCCTTCAAATGACAATGAAGCCTGCTGTCTACAAAAGGCTTCTCTGCAGTGTGTGATGCTCTTTGGTAGCATTTAATAAACAGTGTATCTTCCTTCAAATTTGTAGTCATTTCCAATTCTGCTGCTGACTTATCAAATGACTTAAAAGTAAACCCTCTACTATCACCTCATCCCTGCCCACAGCACCTTTCTCCAGGAGTATATTTCACCCAAAGAAACCACTTTTCAGGGCTCACTTATAAGGAGCAATTGTTTATCTGGCAATGATGTTACGAGGTGTAATTGAGTTAAAAATCTTTAAATTCTATATCTAATTCGATTTCTTTGTGGTTTTACCATATCTGTAGGTTCTTCCCCAACTAAAGTCTTCAAACTGCCAAAATTATGCATGAGAGTTGAAAGCAATTCTTCCAGATGAATATTAATATTGATATCCTGATCTGTTTTCATGAATCATGAATGATTTTAATGGCTTCTACAATGACAAGTTTTTTTTTTTTCCAGGATGCCTCTAATGTGTTTTGTCAAACCTCCAGAAGATCCCATTTATATGTCAGCCATGACCTTATAAAAGACAGCTCCTAAGTAGTAAGGCTTGAAAGGTGAAGTTACTCGTAGTCTATGGGACACAGTAGGCTTCGGACATGAGTAACATAAAAACATCTTTGTTTCTTCTCCATCTCCATGTGAGCTCTTGGATGACCAGTGCCTTGCCAATGAGCAGTAACATTTTGAAAGGAATTTGAAGGATCAGTAAATACCAACACTTGGCTTAAAATATTCATTAGACTACATTGAAAATTGACTTGCTTGTTCTCTATATAGACTGAATAGATTTACTAGATTCTTAAGGATTTTTGACTAGTACATGAACATTGGGTATTGGCTTTATCTGAAGGTTGCTGTTTGTGTCATAGACACTAACAAGAAAGGCAGCCTATGTTTTAAGGCTTTGGAGTTAGGATGGCTTCTTTCTGTTGAGTGTGGAAGTTCTAAAGACCTTGTCTGACAACAGTAGGGCCCTTTGCTTTCATCTAGACTTCATTTTACTGTAACCATCTTTATGTGCGATCCTAACTTGGTCTGTGGGAGAACAGGATGAGGTCCACACATCAGTGTCTGCTGCCTCACTGTTCACTTTGCTGTTGGAGAGCAAGCTCCTCTCCTTCACTTCAGGACCTGATCTGCGACCTTCAAATCTCTCTCTTACAGAATTTTCACCCCTGCCCACCTCTGGGGGAGGAAGAGAGTTCAGTCCTAACTCCGGATTAAGCTTTATGACTTAAGGGAATGTGGATGTTTTGATCTGCTACCCATACCACTAAAGAGTCCTCCTTATGAACAATGGGTCACCTTTCTCTTTCTTTACATGTGCTTGGAAAGAGATAAGTCTACTTTTCTTCAAGAAATCCCAATAAATGTTTAGAGATTAGTTTATGAACTGGGCTAAGACACCAACCTTTCAGTCTATTCCAGATTTGACCAAGCCTTTCTCACTGAGATGAATTATTTCCAGCTTTGAGTTTAAAAGCAAGAGCTATATTATTCTTTTAGCTTCCACACTTAGAGGTCATTGTTGACTTGATAATATGCCTCATTTCAATACTATTATCAGAAAAGACAGGGTAAAGGAGAGGGAAGAAAGGGTAATGGGAGGAGTTTTTCAGTGGAGCAGACACAGTTCACACAATATTTATGAATGTACTAAGCTCGCTGTCTTACAGGGACAGAGTTCAAAAAAAATAGAAGATGACTATGGCAGTATCAACTGTTAGCCAATCACAGATCACCATAGCAGACATAATAACAGCAACAGCATTTAAAACTTTGTGAGAATTACCAAATGTGATGCAAAGATAGGATGTGAGCTCCTATTGCTGGGTGAATGATACTGTTTGGTGCAAGGTTCCCATGAACCTTCATGGTGTAAAAAATGCAACACCTGAAAAGTGCAAAAGGGCAAAGTGCAACAAGATGAGGTAAGCCTGTGCTAAAACCAGAAGTTCCTTCTGGTTTCTTCTATCCAGTGCCTCTATTGGTGCAGGCACAGAATAGACTTGAAGGCACTTAATTCGTATTTGTGGACAAACAAAATAATGAGCAATTATTGTTCTACTAAAGCTATATGGAATACACTTGCTTCCTGATATAACTCAGACTATCCTCTTTTCTTCTTTATTCCAGGTTCAGTGTTGAAATATCCTTCAGCTAGTTCTAACGCCGCATGATTAGCAGATGGCCTGCCAAGTGCACTGCTCTAATCTGATCGTGCTTGCGTAGACCAGTATATCCCTTAATATGTGACTGCCAAGAAGCAAGCATAAATCTCCACCTAGGGTCAGCTCTGAGCAGGGTAGGAACCCTAGCATCCACATGGGCATTCTGCCCTAGATATTATCTGTCCCCAACCAGTAGACAACCATTTGTTTGGCATGTTTCTAAATTAAGGCATTCCATTCTGGCAAAAATTGCTAATTAGCACATATTCTGTTGTGGGAGGAGGAATGTTTCCTTGAATTTCCAGGATAAGGAGGGGGTGGGGAGCGCTGGGCTGAAGCTTGAGGGGTCGGAGAGTATGGTGGAGGCAAGTCTGTACAGTATTCCATCTCGTGGTCGTACGTGTAGGGGGGTGGCGCCACTGGAACGAAAAGGAAAACAAATCAGGCATTTAGTAAATATGTTGGTTACTGTTTTAAACCAGTGTGCTAGCTATTTTGAGAAGCTAAATACCCTTTGCTTCCCAAACTATTAATATTTGTGTAGAATGCACACAGGCATGGCTGAACAGGTGCATTTTCTGTAAGGTGCTGCCCTGGTGAGGGCATTTGGAGTTGGGGCTTATGGAAAGTCGCTTGGAAATAGGATGCTGAAGGGGCAGAGAGTGGAGATACAGAGGGAATTTGAGCTTGGCTGAAAGTACAGAAGCCGAAGGGTATGTGTATTTCAGCAGATTATGGAGAAAGAGAGAACTGGAAATGGAGGCTGGGAGCTGGATTCACCATTAGCATGCTGGCCTTGATGTCATGGGTAGATTCAGTGCTGTGGCATTCTTAAGAAAGAAATTGTAAAATTCATTTTTTTTTACAATTTTTCCTTGTATATATTCACTGAGCCCAATACTGTTTATAAAAAGACATTTTTTCCACCATATCATTTTTCTTTTATTTCTTCACATTGAAAACAAATTCTTTTCTCATACAGTATATCCTGGTTGTACTTTTCCCTCCCTCTACTCCTCCCAGTTCCTCCCCATATCCTTTCCCCTCAAAATCCACTCCATTTCTTTCTCTCATTAGAAAAAAACCAAGTTTCTTAGAGATAACAATCAGGCATCATAAAGTAAATGCAATAAGATGTAGGTGAAGACTGATTGCTTTTTCTGGCTACCCAGACCAGTAAGGTTTTCCAGCATCTTTCTCCTTCAGCAGCTATGGTGTTTCCCTGACTCTGCCTACTCTCTATCTCTGTTCTGATTTATTGCCTAGATTTACTCTGATAAGCCATTAGCCCAAACAGCTTTATTCATTAACTAATAAAAACAACGCATATAAAGACGGGTACCCCACATCATCTCCCCTTTTTTGTCTTAAAAAGAAATGTTTTAACTTTATATAGTAAAATTACATATAACAAAACATGTATTAAGCACGAATTACATTTATAATAGTCTATTATTTGTATCTGGAACATTTCATATCTAATTTACTTTTTTTTTCTCTTTTTTTATTGCGAAAAGAAAAAAAAACATAAACAAAAAACAAGTTTCCACCTCCTCCCAGCCTCCCATTTCCCTTCCCCTCCTCCCACCCTTCTCCCCATCCTCCCACCCTTCTCCCCCTCCTCCCACCCTTCTCCCCCTCCCCCCACTCCTCTCCCCCTCCCTCTCCAGTCCACAGAGCAGTCAGGGTTCCCTGCCCTGTGTTAAGTCCTAGGTCCTCTCCGTCCATATCTAGGAAGGTGAACATCCAAACTGGCTAGGCTCCCACAAAGCCAGCACATTAAGTAGGATCAAAACCCCCTGCCATTGTCCTTGGTGTCTCATCAGCCCTCATTGTTCGCCATGTTCAGAGAGTCCGGTTTTATCCCATGTTTTTCGGTCACAGTCCAGCTGGCCTTGGTGAGCTCCCCGTAGATCAGCTCCTCTGTCTCAGTGGGTGGATGCACGCCTCGTGGTCCCGAATTCTTTGCTCATGTTCTCCCTCCTTCTGCTCCTCCTTGGGACCTTGGGAGCTCAGTCCAGTGCTCCTGTGTGGGTCACTGACTCGATCTCTATCCATCACCAGATGAAGATTCTATGATGATATGCAAGATATTCGTCAGTATTGCTCTAGGATAGGGTCATTTCAGGTTCCCAATCCTCAGCTGCCCAAGGAACTAACTGGGAACCTCATCTTGGGCACTAGGGAGCCCCTCTAGGGTCAAGTCGCTTGCCCACCCTAAAGTGGCTACCTTAACTAAGAATTGTGGTTCCGTGCTCCCCTATCCACCTTTCCTTTATCCCAATTCTCCCGTTTCCCAGGTCCCCCCTCCTTCCCTTCTACCTTTTCTCTCCCCATCTCCCCTTACTCCCATCCCACCCCCCCCCCCAAGATCCCATTTTCTCCCCGGAAATTTGGTCTACTTCCCTTAGCGAAGAGGACAACTATATGTTTTTCCTTCGGTTCACCTTCTTCCTTAGCTTCTTTAGGTTCACCTATTGTAGACTCCGTGGTCCTTATTTATGGCTAGAAACCAATTATGAGTGAGTACATCCCATATTCATCTTTTTGGGTCTGGGACACCTCACTCAGGATAGTGTTTTCTATTTCCATCCATTTGCATGCAAAATTCGAGAAGTCATTGTTTTTTACCGCAGCATAGTACTCTAGCGTGTATATATTCCATACTTTCTTCATCCATTCTTCCATTGAAGGGCATCTAGGTTGTTTCCAGGTTCTGGCTATTACAAATAATACTGCTATGAACATAGTTGAACAAATGCTTTTGTCATTTGATAGAGCATCTCTTGGGTATATTCCCAAGAGTGGTATTGCTGGGTCCAGGGGTAAGTTGATCCCCAATTTCCTGAGAAACCGAAACACTGACTTCCACAGTGGTTGCACAAGATTGCATTCCCACCAGCAATGGATGAGGGTACCCGTTCTTCCACAGCCTCACCAGCAAAGGTTATCCTTGGTGTTTTTGAGTTTAGCCATTCTGACAGGTGTAAGATGATATCTCAAAGTTGTTTTGATTTGCATTTCCCTGATTGCTAAGGAAGTTGAGCACGACCTCAAGTGTCTTTGGCCATTTGAACTTCTTCTGTTGAGAATTCTCTGTTCAGTTCAGTGCCCCATTTTTTAATTGGGTTAATTAGCATTTTAAAGTCTAGTTTCTTGAGTTCTCTATATATTTTGGAGATCAGACCTTTGTCTATTGCGGGGTTGGTGAAGATCTTCTCCCAGTCAGTAGGTTGCCTTTGTGTCTTAGTGACAGTGTCCTTTGCTTTACAGAAGCTTCTCAGTTTAAGTAGGTCCCATTTATTCAATGTTGCCCTTAATGTCTGTGCTTCTGGGGTTATACATAGGAAGCGATCTCCTGTGCCCATCTGTTGTAGGGTATTTCCCACTTTCTCTTCTATCAGGTTCAGTGTGTTCGGGCTGATATTGAGGTCTTTAATCCATTTGGACTTGAGTTTTGTGCACGGTGAGAGATATGGGTCTATTTTCATTCTTCTACAGGTTGACATCCAGTTGTGCCAGCACCATTTGTTGAAGATGCTTTCTTTCTTCCATTGCATACTTTTAGCTCCTTTATCGAAAATGAGGTGTTCATAGGTTTGTGGGATAAAATCCGGGTCTTCTATACGATTCCATTGGTCGACTTCTCTGTTTTTATGCCAGTACCACACTGTTTTCATTACTGTAGCTCTGTAATAGAGCTTGAAGTCAGGGATGGTAATGCCTCCAGAAGATCCTTTATTGTATAGGATTGTTTTGGCTATCCTGGGTTTTTTGTTTTTCCATATAAAGTTGATTATCGTCTTCTCCAGATCTGTGAAGAATTTTGATGGGATCTTGATGGGGATTGCATTGAATCTATAAATTGCCTTTGGTAGAATTGCCATTTTTACTATGTTGATCCTCCCAATCCAAGAGCAAGGGAGGTTCATCCATTTTTTGGTATCCTCTTCAATTTCTTTCTTCAATGCCTTAAAGTTCTTGTCAAATAGATCTTTCACTTCCTTGGTTAGATTTACCCCCAGATATTTTATGCTGTTTGTGGCTATCGTGAATGGTGAAGCTTCTCTGATTTCCCTCTCTGCTTCCCTATCCTTTGTGTATAAGAGGGCAACTGATTTTTTGGAGTTGATCTTGTATCCTGCCACATTACTAAAGCTGTTTATCAGCTGTATAAGTTCTTTGGTGGAGTTTTGGGGGTCGCTTATGTACACTATCATATCATCTGCAAATAACGAAAGTTTAACTTCTTCCTTTCCAATTCGAATCCCCTTGATCCCATTATGTTGTCTTATTGCTATTGCTAGAACTTCAAGCACTATATTGAAGAGGTATGGTGAGAGTGGACAGCCTTGCCGTGTTCCTGAGTTAAGCGGGATGGCTTTGAGTTTCTCTCCATTTAATTTGATGTTAGCTGTCGGCTTGCTGTATATAGCTTTTATTATATTTAGGTATGACCCTTGTATCCCTAATCTCTCCAAGACTTTTAACATAAATGGATGTTGAATTTTGTCAAATGCTTTTTCAGCATCTAATGAAATGATCATATCGTTTTTTTTCTTTCAGTTTATTTATATGCTGGATTACATTGATAGATTTTCGTATGTTGAACCAGCCCTGCATCTGAGGAATGAAGCCTACTTGATCATAATGGATAATTTTTCGGATGTGTTCTTGGATTCGATTTGCCAGTATTTTGTTGAGGATTTTTGCGTCGATATTCATGAGTGAGATTGGCCTGTAGTTCTCTTTCCTGGTTGAGTCTTTGAGTGGTTTTGGTATCAGAGTAATTGTGGCTTCATAAAAGGAATTTGGTAATGACCCTTCTGATTCTATATTGTGGAATACATTAAGGAGTATAGGTATTAGGTCTTCTTGGAAGTTCTGGTAGAATTCTGCATTGAAACCATCTGGTCCTGGGCTTTTTTTGGTAGGGAGGTTTTTGGTAACAGCTTCTAATTCTTCGCGACTTACAGGTCTGCTTAGATTGTTCACCTGGTCCTGGTTTAGTTTTGGTAAATGGTATTTATCTAAAAAAGCATCCATTTCTTTTACATTTTCCAGTTTTGTGGCATATAGGCTTTTGTAGTAAGATCTAATGACTCTCTGAATTTCCTCTGTGTCTGTGATTATGTCCCCCTTTTCATTTCTGATCTTATTAATTTGCGTGCTCTCTCTCTTTCGTTTGATTAGTTTGGATAGGGGTTTATCTATCTTGTTGATTTTCTCTAGGAACCAGCTTTTTGTTTCATTGATTCTTTGGATTGTTTTCTGTGTTTCTATTTTGTTGATTTCAGCCCTCAATTTGATTATTTCCAGTCTTCTACTCCTCCTAGGTGAGTCTGCTTCTTTTTTTTCTAGAGCTTTCAAGTGGGCTGTTAAGTCTCCAATATGTGCTTTCTCTGTTTTCTTTAGGTGG